TACGACCTGTTGACTGGTTTGTCATAAAGAGCGAACCTTGGGCCCCGTCAGAGAAACGGAGCAGCTTGACCTTATATGGGGGGTGTTAGCGATAGGAGTCTACTGGGAATAGCTGCAAATAGCAGCGGTGTAAGACAGATACCCGCAGTCATTTTTCCTTTTTAACTTCGCTTATGGCGAGGTCTTCACCGAACACGACTTGAGAAAGGTGGAGCTGTTCCCAGTGGGTCGACTTCTCGACTTGACGGCGTCGTTAGATTGCGCGCTACCTCTCACTGCATGGTGGTGTAACGTTTGCAACCTGTCGTGTTTCCGCTGACAGTACGGGTAACCGACACAACCCCTCGGGTCACAATACATCCACTTCACAAGTCAGAAGACAAACGCCTCTGGTGAAACTTGTACGGAGCACCCGGAATACAGTTGTACAGCCAAACTATGGGGTCAAACTAAACATTTCATGAGCGAATGACGTAGCTAAAGTTCCTGGCGATAGCAGCTACTAGATGCGCAAAATCTCGCTTGTTGGATTTTCAAGTAGTGTGCTTACTGGGGGGCTTTAAGGTGGGTCATTCTCATTGGTCCACTTCTAGGTAAGCGATGCCATTGGCTTGCTCTCATTGGCTAGCCAATCAGCTACAGGCGGCGTACGACCAATCTTTTCCTTGCTGCTTAAAAGAGAGCTGACTTCGAGGGCCGCTACGGACGGCCACCTGTAACACAACCAGGTTCGGAGAACAACTGAATCGTTCTGTTTGACTTGGAAAACGTCCCGGCTAATCTGAAACTGTTCCCGTTTAAAGTGTTCATGAGTTCCGTTATCCTGCTACATATTGTATCTACTTTGCATGTTTATTTATCTTCAAATGTTTTGTTGGCTGTTTGGTATCCCCGGTGTGCCTGTGCTTGATGTGAATGTTGACAGAATACGTTCATGTCGGAAACTCCACTTCGATTACTGGCTCCACGAGACTTATTCGTTCCTTGGGGAGACGGAGTGCGCACTCTTCGTGACCGTGCTAGGTTCACAGAGTGGCTCCATCCAGTGTGGAACGGGTTACTGCCCAGCCACCGTCTTGTGTACTTCTGGTATGTGTTATTACCCATTGCGGCAAGTTATCGTCGCCCTTTAGTATCTCCAGCGGCGTGAGACAAGGATGCCCGCTGTCACCTTTCCTCTCCAACTTCGCTGTTGACGAAGTAATGGAAATCGCGTTTACAGGACACGACTTAGAAGGTGTGGATCTGCTCCCAGGAGAACGACTTCTTGACTTAGAGTATGCTGATGATATTGCCCTAATCTGTGACAGCTCACAAATGTGCCAAGCCGCACTGGACAGATTAGCACTAGCTGTCCGTCACTTCGGGCTTTGCTTCGCACCCTCGAAGTGCAAGGGCGTTCCTCCAACATTGGTCTGGACCGCCCCCTACGCTGACCCTTGGTGGGGATCAGCTAGAAGTCGTTCAAAAATTCAACTACCTGGGAATTTGTATCAGCGCCTATGGGATTGAAGATGAGATCACGAACCGTATAGCAAAAGCTCGGGGCGCTTTTGCTAACCTTCGCCACTTATGGCGCCGGCGCGACATCACTCTTGCCCTGAAGCCTAGAGTGTACAATGCAGCAGTACGTTCGACCATACTGTACGGTTGTGAAACCTGGCCGCTTAAAGCAGCGGACCTGAAGAGGCTACTTACGTTCGATCACCGGTGCCTTCGTAATTTAGCTCACATCTGGTGGGAACACCGCGTGGGCAACGAGCGTGTCCGACGCCTTGTTTATGGCACAGGAAAAGGAACTGAACCGCTCAGCACCGTTATTTCACGCACTAGGCTCCGATGGCTCGCTACGTGTTACGCATGCCAGCCCACCGACTCCCGCAACGTGCGTTGTTTGCGCGCCGGTGATGTGGATGGAAGAAGAGGAGGGGTGGCCAAGCGATGACTTTGTCGAGAGGAATGAAGGCCCTCACTTCTGAGCTGGCCTCGGTTGGAGCGTCTCGGCTCCCTGGTTGGGGTCTGAAAGACGATGAACACGTTTGGTTGGACACACTTGTTGACATGGCGAGGAGCCGACCTTAGTGGCGTTCGTGCTGTGAGTTTCTTTGTCCCACCCCACCCCTCTTAGCCTGCTCCTCCAACCACGATCTCATTAGTTAGCCTTACATAATTTTGCATAGTAAATTTTTTTGATGCACAGTAGCCGGATGATAGCTTACCGGAACGATGCCCATCCATTACCGGTAGCTCAGCCGGCTTGCCCCAGTTAAATTCTTTTTTTTTCTCTCCTTTTTTCTGTATTGCGGCACAGTAGCTGAGGTGTTCACCACCTCTGGCTAACGTGTGTGAGGATGATATGATGATGATTCCCTATTGAGACAGAAGTGCTGTATATGTTGAAAGATTGTGGGCCGGCCACCATCCCCATGCTTCGCGGTCTTATTCTTTCATGTTTAAACCGGATTTGTGTGGAGGGAGCTGCGGGTGGTGCAGCGCAAGCCACCGGTGTTCCCTCTGTAGGCGCAGACGTCCCATGGTTGTTCTATGGCACCAGCAGTACGCCGTACCGATGCTCCGCTGCTATGCAACCACCAACAGTCGCGCGATGGCTATGAATACTGCGAGGGTCGCCCTGTCTTCCGCGCAAACTGGTGCCTGCAACTTCCGGATTGCAAAGCGGACGCCTTGTCCTTTCGGCCACGGACCTGCGGATGTCCTTTGGAGGAAATAGTGACAGGCAAATCCAGTAACAGATATCGCTAATCCACCATATGCTTGTATGTATGTGAAGAAGGAAGATATTGTCATCAGTACGCAGTACCGACGCTTCGCTGCCGCGCAACCACCAATAGTCGCTTGTGCGCTAAGGACACTGAGTGGGTCACCCGGCCCCCTACGCAGACTCGCATCCCCGCCATAGGATTACAAGGCAAACTTGTGATCCTTTAGATTACGGGCCGTGTTACTTGCATAAGTCCAATACTAGATATGGGTCCATTACAATACTTGAAACTCAACATTACAGTGTCCTAAAGAGAAAACCGAACACAACACGATGCATTCCGTGGTTTCCTAAGAGCATACTGCTACGCGGTTGCACAAGCGGAAGTTGGGTTTATTTAGAGGATACCACTGCAAGCGTTTGGCTGAATGGCTTACTCGCAAGACAGCGAAACGAGATCAGGGGATCGCGCCCACTATGAGTCTATGACATTTTTCAATTCACACGTCTTAGGTTTGGCGTCTTGCTAGACGGATTCCCAATACGCTGTCGCGGAATCAACTAGTTCTACCAGAGTAAAGCAAAGGTTTCCACCGAGGCACCAGGCATTTGTGCCTCACAGTAATCGGTGTCTTGCCTCCATCTTCATCTCATTCAACTAATGCCATCGGTGATAGCTGGAGAATTTGGTCTTTCGTGAATCAGCAACTTCATTAACTATTTTTTACTTTTTATTCGTGTCTGTTGCTAGTCTGACTGGAATATGATAATGAACCAATGGAGGCAGAACCTGAGTAATGAATTCTTTTCTGTAATTCTCATCAGACTCAAACATTACATGATAACGATAAAGTGCTAAATGTGCCGGATTGGGCTGCGTATTGATCAGAATGTTTAATTCCAGCTGGAACAAATCAATAAATCACGGGGTCCTTGAAGGTGTAGACGACACACTTATACTCTGCAAATCGAGAGTACAGGTTGTGGATCTGTTGGAAGCCTTTAATGTTACGCATCAGAATCTACAATTCACATATGAGCACGAGTCCATAAACCGGCTACCGTTCTTGGACGTTGATATTATCAGAAACGCCATTGAATCGTGCAGCAGAGCTATGCATAGAAAACCAACTTGGACTGGACAGCGTAGTGCGGTACCCCTACCATACAAACGAAATCTAGTTCGCACTCTTGACTTCCGGACAGAATTTGTACACCGGACACAATCACCAAAGAGTTGTAGAGGATCAGCGACGTGCTATCCAGCTAAATTCATCCTCAAACATTTGAAAGAATGCAAGCTAAAACCACCGAGGATAAACGTACCCAACGTACCCTTTCTAAGACGACAGTGCAGCTGATGCCCTGTCCATACAGCTTAAAGACGCTGTTGAAAAGACCTATTTCGCCGCTCGCTTACGCATAGTATTTTACAACAACGATCAATGCTTGTTTATTTTTCCTCTTGCTCCTGTGGTACACGATACATGGGTCGTACTACGAGGCGCCTATCTCATAGGATTCGCGAACGCATCCCGAAAGGGTTTTACAAAGGCGAAGCGAGGTCTAGTAACAGCTCCATCTTGTTTCACCTTCTAGAGTGCAGTCACGTAGGGACGGAAAACAATTTCAAAGTCATCTATACTATCCCTGAATCTTTCTCACACGGATTCCAGAAGCATCTTTTCGATTACGGCTGCTGTCTACATCCTCAATCTCAATCCAGAATTGTACGTACAAAAACAGTTTGTACCTCCTTTACTTCTACCAGTTCCTACAACCGGTTATGATTTCCCCTGTACCTACTTTGCCACCTTCAATGACCCCGTGATTTGTTCCTGTTGGAATTGAACATTCTGATCAATACGCAGTCCAATTCGGCACATTTAGCACTTTCTCGTCATCATGTAATTTTTGAGTCTGATGAGAATTACCGAAACGAATTCTTTACTCAGATTCTGCCTCCCTTGATTATTTGAATAAATGGAATATGATGCTCATACGCATAGATGTTTCGATCACGTACATCCAGACGATTCTAGACGTGTGTATGGTAGCCGCATGTTAGACGCAGGTTCTTTCTATTTTCAAACGCTACACTTCTTACATTTCTCCATTTTAGCACTGTACGCTTCTGAATCAGACAATCTATCAAATGTGCCCGCTCCCTAAAAGTGTTTTATACATTCAGTCGTATCTTTTCATCATAGTAAGAATAGTGCGACCTTGTCTATAGGGTGTATTATCATAATTTCTACGTTCACTTCATTTTCTGCAGCGCACGATTCCACTGCGATTTGAACTAGAACCATCCACGGGCAGCGGTGCTGCAGCATTGAGTGGCCCAAACCTGAGCTCTACGGCTCGGCGCATCCTCGAAAGTCTGGAGCGCTTTTCAACTCCCCTAACTATGGCTGATCGCATACCTTTCCCAGGGCACGCGGATACTCTACAACAGACTACAACTACTCCGGTAAGCTAGTTATCAACTATTTCTCATCTATGCGTAGGTAGTCGATGATAGGCGCCTCTCCGGAAAGATTTGTTTTTCTCACTTGATAATTGTAAGGTGACAAAACCCATGCGTTTACTGTTTTTCTTTGGGTCTAACGTGCACATCTATTCTCATCCTAACTCATTAACATCCGTGATGATTACTTTATTCTTTGCACTCACTATCATATATTCTGCCTGATGGATAATAACCACTTAAAGTCACCTGAGACACTCCAATCACCTTTTGTTCACCGGCTAGCTATCAGCAATCAAAATAGTTTACTTTCGTTTCATGGCACTTTGGTGATTCTCGTCATTGTTTTTTTTTTGCTTTTGTACTACTAACTGTGACGCGTTCAATCTTATTAGTCTCCGGAGTACGCGATTATTGCCATCGACGGCACATTCAACTGTCTCAACGCTCCACCGAGCAATACTAGTAGTCAGTCCTTTAATGGAAAGTGTACCATAAGCTAGGCTCGTCCAATGTAGTGACATCGTAACCGAGTTTCATCCATTCCGGTTATCTCACAACGGTTATGACCGATACAGAGGCCTTCATTCGGTAGACGGAGTGTATCCGTGTTTTGGCTCAGTATGAGTTTCTCCATTCTATCCACCCACCCACACACTATACACGTTAGCTAGAGGTGGCAAACACCTCAGCTACTATGCCGCAGTATTCTATCCGGCTTCATTGAATGGACATCTCGGGGATTTATTAAACTAGCGCGCGTCCAAACGAGTGGTTGGCAGGCGCGTGAAGTACTAGACTCAGCCAGCATAGATGGTTCGCGTTTAACAGATGCTCCGCTTACCATCAGATGAAAGTCTTGCCTATTCCTTGGTCACTTTCGCCTCTCAGTATCCTCAGCATGCAGTGCCTGTGCTTTACATCAACAGTTGTGGCATTACAGCATTGTACGGTTTGCCATCAGGCATAAGCCTGTATCTTACGATCTTTGGAAAGCCACTTGTAGCTCCTTGCTATCTGTAGTAGATTGTCATGTAGTGTGCCAGCCGCAGGCGACAGCTATCTACTAAGTAACTCAGCAGACCACTTCAGGTGTTTGTTTGTGAAAAATTATGGAACATCTCTACACCATGGTAGCGGAGTTTTGTCACAAATCTGCTCAGCAATGTATAGTATTTGTTTCCGACCCCGCCTGACAATACCTTATACTTCATGGCCGATCACCTGAAAACCAAGACAAGATCAATCATGCATACCTTGATTACTGGTTTAGACAAAATAGGGACAGTGCAGCACCGATGTACTGAACCTATTGTAAAGGGCTCAGGGACTAGTGGATTTCACAGGGTGCCAGGAACTAATGCAACACGAGATCAACAGGCGGGATCAACTAACTTTCGACTTTCGAATCAGCGTTTTTAGTGGGACCAAGTGACCACTGCAGCATTTTGCGTGGAAGTTAGTTGCAGCCAATGAACGTGAAAAGTAACTTAATGCTTTTGCTATATTCCGTATAGCTAACTGGTTATGGTAGTCAATATTGGGCCAATGCCAACTCTTAGCGACGGTGGAGGGTTTATAGGCCGGGTGCCTTGTTCCTCTTTAACGACGCCAATTCTAACCGTATGGCGAGGCTGCTAAGTCAAAGTCTTGGGCGGATTTAGGTGGTCTAACTGTCACACATCATGTCACAGCATCGATCATTAAGCTTTCGCGATCAGCGTTTGAATCGACTTAGGTAGCAGTTTCCTCGGCTATGTTCTCATGTTGCGTTTTAACAGCGCTGGTGTTCCTAATATCATTGTGCTTTCCTTCACTTTACTTATGTCACCCCCCATCGCTCCCAATCTGTTTTGAGATTAAACCTCAATTGCAACATAACGACAAAACCAATTTCCGCGCCCCGAGTAAACTTTTTCATTCTCTTGAAACCCATCGGTATTAGTGGCTTTTCTGCAACAGTCGCGAAGGTTGCCCACTGCTCCCAGACCTCTGCGATTAGTGCTTCAGCATTCACATGTCGGAATGATTGAATAGATGCTACGGTACATGTAACGAACCATTATTTCCAGTTTGAACAATGTTCCTCCCTTTCTCACATTCATTGAGTGGGGCATATTCCTCTCTTACCGGACATCACGATCCATTCGCTTGTCTTTTCTTCCTAGATGAGAACTCAGAAGCTGCATCGGTTTCCTCCCTATTTAGAAGCGTACCGGCGTTTAAAGTATGCACAACGGAAGGCCATGGGTGTCAGCACTGCCTCGTCCGTTCAGTCGGGATCACTTATTGAACCCAGTGTTAATACTGCCTCTTCTGGGACGGCAGTTTCAGTACTTACCGGTACAAATACATCTATAGAACTTGCTGGCATATCAAGTGCAACTTCTTCTGGCTTAAGGTTTCATAATTCATCACCTCCATCGCGCATCTCAAATAACCGGGATCATGCAGCCCCATCTACGTCAACCGATCTTCTAGAATCGTCGAAGACAACTTGCAGTACAGCCTCATCAACGACCTTCACTTTTGCACCTCCTATCCGAAAGTCAAATTCCTTGGTTACTCATTTGGCCTTTCTTTCCCCATCAGAACTCCCATCGGCCTACACTTTCAGCACTCCCCAGCAACCCCGAGGATCATGTGCACTCCTCGGTGATCGTTTTCAACTTCCTCACTCAGAGACGCGGCGAGAGACCTCCGTATCGAAATCCATTTCATCGCCTGTTTTTGATTTGATAATGGATTCTTCCAGGTCCAGCGATATTCCACTTGGAGGTATGCTTTTCGTTTACTTTCGACTTTCCTCTCCTTTTCTCCTCGACGCGATAGTCGATTTAGTCTTTTACCATAAGCCTGTTAAGCACCACTTCAACTAACCTTCATCTAGATGCATCCATCTAAGTCTTGGTGACCTGGCGGCGGTCTGACTGCATTCGGCCTGTGACGATAGGTCCCTCTTATCTCGCCTACCTATGTCTATCAAACTGAATATTCCGTCTTAATTGCTTCTCGTTATAAAGTGGTAATTGTCCCATTCCTGGCACTCTTTTCGTGTTTTCTATCCTACCTTCTCTATACACTAGTACTCTTTAAGGGAGCAAAATATGGTCGTCACCCTGTCAGAACCAATCCTTTAGTTTAAGTTTACCTGTGAGCTTGATTGCAATCTGAGGCTTCTGACGGACGCCAGAAACCACGCACGCGTTCCACGTGGGATGTAGCATTTTCCTGTAATTTTTTGGGTTCTGATTTGTCTATGGCTGTACTGAATCCTCTTCTAATCCAAATATAAAACTGAATACACATTATTTTGTGTATTTTTCTCAACCATGTACATATAGCGAATCAGACGCACAAGTGGGACAAGTTCATATATATGGTCGGCGGCATCCGGTTTCGGATTTGACTCTCACTGTGACCAGCCACAGGACGCCTGCGCCTACAGAGGGACCATGGGTGGCTTGCGCTGCACCACCCACAGCTCCAACCACACCCCATATCCAGTGTAAACCCGAAGGAATAAGACCAGGAGGCATGTGGATGGGAGCCACGTTTCATCAACGGAGCCGGCCCACAATCCTTCACAGGCAAACACAAGCACGCTGTATTAGTGGAATCAAGCGCACACAAGGCGGTGGCTGGACCGTAGTCCGCTCCACACTGAGTGCATATAACCACTCTTTGGTCCTAACACGGCCACAAGGACCGTGTACCCCGTCCCCTCCAGCCACGGCCAACTGTCTCCTGGAGCCAGTATGGACGAGGTAGTGGGTAGGCACCTTGTCAACATGCACATCAAGCGCAGCCACACCTGGGATGTCAAACAACAGCCAATCACTTGAAATGACATTATCAAATAAAATATCTCTGTTAAAGAATACGGCTACACCGACATAACTCTTTGATAAATTAGCATATGAATTAAGGTAGTTATCAAGGAATCCGCGATAAGTACAAAATGTCCACAAGTTACCCAAAAAATAATACAAGCACAATAAAGTTAACGAAGATAACCACAACGTGGCCAGTTAATAGAAGATTATTCAGATAGTCAGAACAAGCCAAATAAAGTGGAATATTTCTCCAACTTTAAAAGACTTAGTTTAAGTTTAAGTTGGGCTAAACCAACTTACACTTAAACTAAATCTTTTTATGCTGGATAAATTTCATTCCACTTTATTTGGTTCGTTCTGCCTACCTGAATAATTTTCTATTAACTCGCACACGTTGCTTACACTAATTGCGCTTATCTTCGTTAACTGTTCTGCGTTTGTTGCATATTTTGAGTAACTTGCGGACAATTTGCACTTATCACGGATGCTTTGCTACACGACTTACTTCATAAGCTAATTTAGCGAAGTGTTACGTCTGCATACACTCATGCTTCAACAGATATACTTTATTTTAAAATGTTCTTTGAAGTGATTGGATGTTGCTTGATATTCCCGGATGTGCATGTTGACAAGGTTCCTACCTGTCTATTACCCACTACCTCGTCCATACTGGGTCCAAGAGATAGTTGCTCGTTGCTGGGGGGGGGGGGGGGGGAAGGGTGCACTGTCCTTGTGGCCGTGCTAGGCTCGAAGAGTGGTTCCATGTAGTCAGTGTGGAGCTGACTACGGTCCAGCCACCGCCTTGTGTGCACTTGATTCCCCAGATACGGCGTGCTTGTATTTGCCTCTGAAGGAGTGTGGACCTGCTCCGTGGTTGAAACTTGGCTCCCATCCACATGCCTACCAGTCTTTGGGTTTACACTGGATATGAGGTGTGTGGATGGTGCAGCGCAAGCCACCCATGGTCCCTCTGTGGCTGCCCGTGTTGACAGGCAAATCCGAAACCGGATGTTGCCAACCATAGACATATATAATGTTACGATTGTTGGACTCCTACCTGCTGAGTAAGCAAGGATCGTGTTGCCTTCGCTGCGATCTTCATGGTCTCTTTTGGAACGACTTGTCACACGGATCCGTGATATACCTGATTTGAACAGAAAGTGATGCAGCTGACAGTATCTCCTTTCTACACCTTACCACTCCAATGACCTCGTCATGTTGAAGTTGACGTTGCATGCACGATATTTCTTTTACCTCAGTCGGGCTAATCCAACTTAAAATAGATCTTTTTACTCTGGCTAAAAGTTATTCCACTCAATTCATTTGTTTAGTTCTGTTCTTTTGCTACATTTGTGTCAATTTTGCATGTTTGCTTTTCCTCAAATTCTACGTTGGCTGTTTGATCTCCTCGGTGTGGCTACGCTTGATGTGAATGTTCACAAAATGCCTACCTAATAACCTCCACCTCGATCACAGACTCCAGGAGACTGTGAATCCTTGCTGGGCGGTCGGGGTGCACGGTCATTATGGCCGTGCTAGGCTCGAAGTGTGATTCCATCCAGTGTGGAGCGGCCTACAGTCCGGCCATCGCCTTGTCTACGTCTGGTCCGCATTATTCTCTCTATAGATGGACAGGAATGCTGCCGTTCTGCATGTTGTAGGAATGTGTCTTGGCTTTGTTCATAAAACGTGGCTCTCATCCACATGCCACCTGGCCTTAATCCTTCGGGCTTACACTGGATATGTGGTGTGTGGATTGAGCTGTGGGTGGTGCAGCACGATACTACGCGGTTGCACAAGCGTAAGTAGTTACTTGATTTAGGGGACACCGCTGCGAGCCTTTGGCTGAACAGCTTCCCCCCAAGGCTGCGAAACGGGGTCAGGGTATCGCACCCATTCGGATTCGATGACCGATTTCTCAGTTCATACGTCTTTGCTTTGGTGAATTTCGAAACGGAGGCCTCATACGCCTTCACTAAATTTTAATGCTCCACTGGTGTAGCAAAAGATAACGGCCTATTTAGCGGTGAGTCACATTCGCCAAGTCGTAGTGTTATCAAGCATATATTGTTGGCTTGTCACTAGGACAGCGCCGTCGGGTGAAAACCCACCTCTTCCTGAAACACTGCCAAACCATTTTCTGGTGCAGAATACTTCCAGACCACCGAGCAGATACCACCAAGAGCAAGCCAACCCGTGCTGCACATATCTTAGGCACAAATGACAATTATATTTAGCTTACTCGTTCTTTTTTCTGCATTTCATATCGTTCCTTCTACAATGCCTGTTTAACCTTCTGTTTACAGGCGTTTCCAACGCTACAGAATCAAAAAGGTTGATCCACTTGTCAAACATTTGGAGATGTGCTACTTGCCTACTTGAAAATTCTGAGGTTGTGGACGCTTGCACGGCTTGCTCCACTCCTCGGCTAGTGCGGGACCAGCAAGACATCCGTTCTGATCAATCTTCGCGTCGTCCTCTTTCGCCTGGAAATTTTCAGTCAATACTTGATCATCCTGCCTCCACCACTGTCAATGGGAACGGCGTCTCAGAGTTCGCTGCACGGCATGCGCAGGTCTTCAATCTTAATGATGACATCAGGAACAGCAGTGCCAAGTGGGAATGTCCAACCTGTATGGTCTTCAATGATTATGCTAAATCTTCTTGTGTGTGTTGCCAAACATCAAAACCCGCTAGTGGTCCACCAGATCTCACATCCTCTGCTAGCACTACAAAAGCCTCGTTGGATCCGGTTTTGAGAAAGTAAGCGGAGCTTTTTACCCCATTTCGGTGTGAATGAATCCCGGCATCCAACCAGGTTACATCATGATGCCTACCCATAGTCTGTTTTTCGGTTTTCTTGAAGATATCAACTACCGCCACCCCTTAAGGCTCATTGCTTTCCAATCCAAGATTTTTTTCACAAGTTTCGCGAGCCACTGGACAGATTATTAATGGCTTTATTTCGCTTATTGTGTCATCATCATCAGTACACGTTAGCTGAGGATGAGGAACACACCTCAGCTAATGTGCCGCAATACAAAAAGATAAAAGACTAAACAATTACACTACCAAAAATATGGTGTTAAATATTATACTATGCGTTTTGCATGAAATCAGGATTCAAGGGAGAATCTAAAGGGAGGGGACTGAACAAAGAAACCCAACACAAACGCCATTGGGACCGACTCTTCGCCCTATCATCAACTGTGTCCAACCTAACGTCCTTAGGACCTCAGCCAGGCAGTCGGGATACACCGATCGACGCCAGTTTCGAAGTGCGGTTTTTCATTTCTCTTGACCAAGTCATCGCTTGCCTTCCCCTCCTATTCTTCCAGCCACACCCCGGGCGCGCAAACAATGCACGTCGCGGGAATCGGTATGCTGGCATGCGCAACACGTGGTCCAGCCATCGAAGCCTGGTGCATGATATACTGGTGCTGAGCGGTTCACTTGCTCTTCCTGCACCAAATACGCGACACCGAACACGCTCATTGCTCGCGCGGTGCTCCCACCAGACATGAGCCAAGCTGGGAAGGCAGCGATGATCGAATTTAACGATCCTTTATGTCTGTCGACCTGATGGGCCAGGTTTCATAACCATATAGGAGGGTTGAACGGACGGCTGCATTGGACACTCCACCCTTCAGGGACAAGGCGATGTCGCATCTGCGCCACAGATGGCAGAGCTAGGCAAAAGCACCTCGAGCTTATGCTATACTGATTGTCGCATCCTGAACGGGAGCCTCCCTTGAAAATTGTAACAATGTCGGAGCGGCTCCAGTCTTTCGGGACAGTCTCCTGCTCTCAAAGTTTCAATAGCAACTCGTGTAAATGATCTACTAGAGCAGGTCCCCCGAATTTGAAGAGGGCTGGGAGAATTCTATCTGCCCCTGCGTCTTTATGCAATTTCAACAGCCTGATCTCACCTTCGACTTCTGCGCGTGAGGGCGGATCCAAGGAGACGGCCCAGGGAGGAGGCACGCAATGCCCGAAAAAGAAAGCGATAACTCAAGTTGGTTAAATTGCTTTGCAAGGTGTTCGGGCCAATGCTCCAAGCGTTTTCACAGGCTGTGGATTGGCTGGCTACTTTCGTTGCGTATGGTCTCGTTTACACCAGGTTTCCTGCTGCCTGTTCCCCGTATCAGTCGGAATAACTTACCATGATTACCAACGGTAGCGGCTATCTCCATCACCGAGGCGCGATGAGACCACCAGGCTTCGCGTGTTTCTTCAGGGGAGCACGAAGTTTTGCCCTGAGATTTTTGCGAGCCTCATTGTATTCGCTTTCAGCCGGAATACGTCGGCGAGCATCCATGTTCCAGAGACTGTACAGTTTGGCAATTTGATTTGCCGCATGAAGACATGCCTGCTGATAGTAACGTTTGACGAATTTGTGACCAGTGATCTTCGACGGTATTCATTGGGCCCGGATGTCGGCGCACTGCTACACATTCAGAACGTCTGACTTCGCCAGCTGGCTGGTGTCAATCCGTTCACATCGACATTACGGACGTGCACCAAAACGCACCCGGAGGTCAGCGTAAACAACTGCGTGGTCAGAGTCCACGTTCATGCTCCAAATTGAGCGACAGTTTTGGACACTGCCTCCATCGGTAACTGATGGCGATATGATCGATTTGCGTCCATGGCTGTTGCGAAGCTGGTGGGCGCCAAGTCACGCTTCTGTGGGTGCTATGTCGAAAGTTTATGCTTGCGAAAAAGAGACGAGTATCTTCACACAGCTGTAGCAATCACTCCCCGTTATCATTACGGGAACCTACACCATGTTGGCCATCCAAATGAAGCTCATCAGAGGACAATTTTCTGACTTGGACGTATAGGTCGCCAGCCAACACCACAGTATCCGTGCTACTTCTGTAACAAAGAAGATCGTTAAGTTGCTGATAGAAATCATCTTTCATGGAATCAGTGCTACGATTTGTAGGGGGCGTAGGCCGCAATGACAAACAGGCACCGTTTGTTCCCGCCCGCCTCCGTAACATAGAAGGAACCAGTCAATCTAACGGCGCACACCCGACTATTGACTGGGATCCAATCAATCAGGGCAGCTTCAGTCCGGGGACTCAAAACAATGCCGACGCCAGCTTGACCGGCATTTGAAGCTGCATCATCGCCAGACAGGCGCAATGAGAATGTGCCGCCATTGTTGCATGTGGAGGATCGCAGGTTAAGCACTGAGGGTGAATCTTGCAGGCCGGTTTCTGATAAACAGCAAGTATCGACCCATAGGTTCTCTAGTTTGCTCGCAAGTGCTGCTTGTTGGTCAATCTGTAGCAGAGTGGGCACGCTTAGGTGTGCCCGTCTTAGCGAGACACGAGGACTCCAAAGGGAAACGGATAAAGTAACGTTCGCTTGGTTGAACATGGACTTGTAGACTGGATTGGAGCGACGCCCTGCGACTGTGTGAGTTGAAACTAGAAGACAAGCGACTATTGAAGCAAGGTGGGGGAGGGCCAATAATTGGCTGATTGAAAAAGGGAGGATAAAAGTAAACTTGGATGGGGACGATAAGTATGAAAAGGCGCAAGAAGGGGATAAGAAGATAGGAAGGCCTGAGCAGTAGCATCCAAACCCCTATCCACCCTGCTCAATGCAGCAGATAGGGCGCCATTGATTATCTGCGAAGAAAGCCTCATTGTGTTGCTTTGGCAGGATACTATCACGTTGCCCAGGCCTAAGCAGGAGAACCTTTAGGGTTCTCCACCAAAGTCTTTGCTTCAAAAACCTTAACTCAAGACAGAGAGGGTTTTGCTACTGAACTACAGAGCCCGTTTTATGGAGTAAGGAGCCACCCTCACTCCAACCCCCAACCTGGAGGGCTAGAAGACTAGGTTTGTCTGGCCTCTAACCATTGACCAATCTGGTATGAGTGGCTCTGAAGGTGCAAAAAAGCACTACCCGGCATAGCTCAATGGATCATTGGGGCACACAAACCATCGTACCACGTTAAGGTCCAGTCTTATCGCGATGGGCTGATTGTGTCAGCCCATCGCTTTCTTTGGAGTAGGGTTTTGCAGCCATCCTCTGTATTTTCCCTTTAAGGTCTTGTCGGTGTCATTATCTGCTACTTTGCTACAGTCGTATAGTGTCGCGCTAACGGATCACACTCACCAGTTTATCTCCGGTCAGTTCTCTTCTTTGGAGACAAGTGATATTCAATGATCTACCAACGAGTGCGTCTTTAATGCGGGAATTATTTCCTCTGCTTTAGATAACACAAGATAGTTACTCCATCCCATTACAAATGTAACGCAGTTTACTACCGTGTGATAAATTTTGCGACTGATCGTTACCGGTCACGTGCACCTTCAGCACCAAGTTTATCAGCTCCCCTTCCATCATCATCATTAAGAGCAGTACATCAGCCACTTGTTCTGATTCTTCACTACCGTATAACCACGGTGGCTTACGGAACTAAGAATAGTAAGTGGAAGAGAGGGGGGCCTACGGTAAAACCTTAATACCCTAATACAAACTCGGGGTCAAGGCGCCTACACTTTGCCAACAACATGCCGTCACAAACAGCTGGCTATCGTGCAGACATAAGACAGCATCGTCGAGACAGGTTCCTTGCGGCTTTTACTGCCCCGCGTCGTAAGCAGCCGTTACCCCGCAGATAACTCAGCGCCCAACACATTTTAAACAGGCAATCCGACTAAGAGACGACAGCTGACGCGCCACTAGTCTCGACTACGAGCCATGTCCTGTAACGTCTCGAGCCAGGCACAAGGCGGATCAGGTGGACTCCAGCCTGGAAGGCGAGGCAGACCGAGGGCGCCGAGGTCTCAATAGAGGTTGCGAGTCGCAACCCAACCACGCAGCGTGCTCCCTAAGTTCAGCTTTGCATCATGGACTTCATTTCCCACTGCCAAGTTACTTTTTGCCCATCTCGGGCCTTGTGCCGTCATATATCTGCAAGACAAAACAATGCCATGCTCGGTAAGAGGTGATCGCGCAACGCAACTTTTTCATTGTTAGCTGTTGTTCTAAAGAATTAGCCTGGTTATTACTGCCTAGGACTCGCTTACGCACATCATCGTTGCGGACGCGCTGGTGCCATCTGACACCAGCAATGCTTTGCAGACATCGATGATCAAAGACTTGAAGGTCCCGCTGGTCCTCAGATCTAAGGGGCCAAGTCTCGCTTCCACAGAGTCAAACGGCTTTCACTGTGGTCTTGTAAACACGGCCTTTTAAACAGATAGAAACCGCTTTTTGACGCCACAGATACCGCAGACTCACATAGGCAGTTTTAGCTTTTACAATTGGTGAACTAGCTTCAGTTGCTAGGCGTCCGTCGTTACTGATACACCTGCCTAGGTAGTTGCAATGATCAACCACCTCGAGTTCCTCGCCATCAAGGGTCAAGGGGGGCACTAAGTGGCTGGTGATTCTATACTTGCACTTTGAAGGAGCGAAGCTCATGCTAAATGATGGGACCACTCTAGAGAGGTTATTCAGGGTTGAATGCGCCGCCCGATCATCGTTAAAAAGCAGAACAATATCGTCCGCATAATCAAGATCAGCTAGCTTCTCACCAGGCAGCACCTCGACGCCTGCATCGTGAGGCTCCGCAAATGAACATTTCATGCTGGAGTCCACGACGAAGTTGAACAAAAATGGCGAAATTGGGCAACCCTGACGAACGCCACTTGTTGTCGGAAACGTATCCGACAAATCACCGTAAACGCTGGCGCGGCTTGTGTTCGAGTATGGAGCGCGTAAAATGTTCATCTATT